GTTGGTAGAATTCTTTAATTCCTCCATCATTAACTTTTGTAGTTGGTGCATATATTTGAATAACAGTCATATTGATTGGATAACTTTGAAGGCAGATAGATAACACTATCACAAACATGACTGTTTCTGCAACGCCCTTTCGGACAATGCGTTCCAAGATGTTCCTCATCATTGTATTATTCCTGGCATAGGAAATCATGTGATTTTCTGATTCAAAATGGTCAATATTTATCCATTTCAGTTTGCTAATGCTAAGATATTTATCTTTTTGCATTCCACTTTATTTTGCCCACTTCCAGTTTTCCCAGGTTCATGCTTCCCACGTTGCCTATTGCCATGATCAGCAGAGTTTTTGCAGCTCTTTCTCCTTTCCTTGAGTTGTACTCCATCAGCAAATAAAGATCCCAGAAGCTCCATTCCCAGAGACTTTAACCGACCATTGTCTAACTCCACTCTGAGAAATCAGCTCCTGCTCAGTCATCTTTATAGGAAAAGAAGGCCTCATCTTTAATGGCACAAGTAATGGTACTTGGGGCTACTCCCCAAAAGAACAGAAATTTTTTTTTCAAAGCTATGTATTTAATTTTTTTTTTTTACAGAACAACCTTATCACCATCAAAGTACTCTCCATTACACTTAATACACCTGCCAAATCTTTGTTTCCATTCTTGGAAATGTTTTTCAAACTCATTTGTTTGGATGGCTGGCAGCACCTCAGTCACACAGAGGGAGGTCAGGTGAGTAAGGTGTGTGGAGCAAGAGAAGCATGCTGTTCTTTGCCAAGAACTGGTGCACTGTGATGGCTGCGTGAGCAGGTGCATTGTCATTGTGGTAAAACCAGTCCCTCGTTTGTCACAAATCAGACCTTTTTTTATGGCACACTGTTAACGCTATCTTTTCAGAACCTCTAAACAGAACGCTTGATTAACAGTCTGACTTGGTGGAACAAATTCCAAATGCACCATGAGTCAACATTTGTGTCTGTTCAGGAGGTTGATGATGTCTAGAACAATATTTTTCATCAATTGACTATTCACCTTTTGAAACAAGAAAACCACTCATATAATTGATTTTCCCCTATAGTGCTATCCTTGTAAGCTGTGTTCACCATCACAACAGTTTCTGTGGCATTTTTCCTGAGCAGGAAACAAAATTTCACCACCACATGTTGTTCTCTTAAATTAGCAATCACAAAATAACAAGGTTTGAGAGAAACTGCTTTTACAAAAAATTTCACTGTGACCAGAAAGAAACTTCCTAGGTGACACCACTGGGTGCACTAACTCAGAGCAAGTTGCTGAATGCTGGCCTAGTGGGAAAAATGCATACCACAAAAGCCCCACCCAGTAGAGCTTTTATCCAGGTTTTTTTTTGGGGGGTGGGGTGGGCTGGGGTGGTTGGTTGTTTAGTGCCAGGTCAGCATTAGGTTATTTTAAAATATTTTTTACATTAAATGATGCTAACATTTGCAAAATCTATGAGGTAAACCTAGAACTTTGGAGCTGTGAGTGATCTAAGAGTATATACCAGGATCTACCCAGAAACCCAACAAAGCTACAAATAGTATAGAGCTAGGCAGATGACTGAAATTCATTTGTGAGATTGTGGTATAAAAGTTGAGAAAACTGAAAGAACAATAAACTTTAAACTTTGAATATGTAATAGAAGTTAGAGTTATCTCCTGGGTGTTAAGGGGTTATATTGCAATTTCTGTCAAACAAATCCATATATGTCAGAGGCATGTAGAATATAAGAAATCTAATTGAATGTGAAGTTACAAGAGTAGTTTTGCTATAAAAATATACAAAAGTAAAAACATATATACAAAAGTAGCTTTGCTACAAAAATATGTAAAAATAGCTTTGCTACATAATATTTTCTTCTACATTTTAAGAAAAGAAAACCAATAAATGCTTTTGAGTAAACGAACAAACAAACAAACCAAAAAAACAGAATACAGTTGACCTGTGAACAAAAGAAGACTAGGGTGCCAACCTCCCCGCAGTTGAAAATCTGCATGTAATTTAAAATTCACACTTGAATAACATGGATTTGAACTGTGCAGGCTCACTTTACTCAGGTTTTGTTTCCTGCTGTTATTGTGGGGAGCTCAAGTGTTGTGAGTATCCACTTAAACTATGGTGTGATGCTAATCATCTCCGCATGAGATATAGGAGAGACAGCTGCTCACAAGGTGTTTTTAAACAGATACTCAAAACACTTGAGCTCACCACAATAGCAGCAGGGGAAGAAAAAAAATGCACATGTAAATGGAACTGCACAGTCAAACTCATGGTACTCAATTGTGTTTCATTTGTCAGAGCCTTAATGCCCAGTGATTCGTTTAAATTTCCTGACAAGAGGGATAAGGCTGAGATATATATCTATATATCTCTATTTCTATCTATATCTATTATCCTAGAAATACTGGAAATGATCTTCTGGAAGAGGATGGAAGCGAATTTGTAGATTTAGGTGGTCTGTGCAAAGGGTAAATAGCTACACTGGCAAGTGGTCAACTACAGAGGCAAGAGAAAAGAATGCAAATAAAGCCTTTGTACAATGGAGCATAACACTGCCCGGTCCTGTGCCACACCCTCAAATTGTTCTGACTCTTGAGCCCATTTTTGCAACCACTGTGAATCATCTTGTGGCAGGCTTCCCTCTTTTTCTCGGCTCCTCCACTGCACCAAGCACGATGTTCTTCTCCAGGGACTGGTCTCTTCCTATAGCATGCCTGGAGTCAGAGAGACAAAGTCTCTCCATTCTTGCCGCTAAGGAGCATTCTTCCAGACAGATATGGTCGACGGCACTTTGAATATCCTTTGCCAACACCATAGTTCACGTGCACCCATTTTTCTTCTGTCTCCCATAACCAATGTCCAATTTTCACAGGTGTGTATACGACACAATTGAAAACACCATAGTTTGGGTCAGGTGCCCCTTAGTCCTTCAAGTAACAGCCTTGCTTTTCAACCCTTTAAAGACATCATGTGCTGTACCTAATACAGTGTGTCATTCGATCTCTTGACTGTTACTTCCATGAGGTTTGCTTGTAGAGCCAAACAAAATGAAATCCGTGACAATTTCCATGTTTTCTCTCTTTATTATGATGTGACCTGTTGGTCCCGTTGTGGGGGTCTTGGTTTTCTTTACATTGCGTTACTACTTACTGAAGGCTGCCGTCCTTGCCTTTATCAACAAGCGCTTCAAGTCCTCCTCATTTTCAAAAAGTTAGATCGTGACATCTACACAAATACATAATAAGCCTTCTTCCCGCCTGATGCCACATTCTCCTTAATGAAATCCAGCTTCTCTGATGATTTGCTCAGCATAAAGATTCAATATGTATGTTGAGAGGATACAACCCTGATGCACAAGTGCCTCTTGTACAGGTTTCATATGAGTATGATTAAGTGTTCTGGAATTCCCATTCTTCTCAAGGCTATCCATAGTTAGTTAAGGTTTTCACAGTTCAATTCATTTTAGAAAGGCTTTTATTAAAGGAATGGGAAATGAAAAATCAAATAAACATTTGAGTAGTCAGCCGACGTGTAGTTAAAATGAGAATCAATCTGATGTGACATCAGGGAAGTCGAAACAGGTGTACCAAAGGCAAGGAGATAGTTGGCAGTGTTTAATGCTACATTCTTGGTCAATATTAAGAAAACCTATGTGATTTCATTTACTGTAATTACATTATGGAAACATTTATGAAATAACAAATTATTAATTGTATAAATTCTGATTTGTAAAACATAAAGAATTTCAACATGCCATTTATTTGCCAACTTACATATTCAATGTTGGATTGATTTATTTATGCTACAAAGAATGGAGATTCAAAGTACTTTTAAAAAGCAAAAGTGTATGAGCTTCAGGCTTTAAAGAGAAAGAAAACCAAGAAGAATAAAACATCCAGCAGAGTATATGTGTATAAGGTAAGGGACATAATTGTTTGAACAAAGACTTGAAATGGGAGGACACAATGTCCTAGAGCCACAGACTACAACTGAGTAGGTGTACTGAAATATACAGATGATCACAAGATTTACCAATGGGAAACAGAGAAGACATTAACTCCTGTTTGTATTTTTGAGTCAATTCACACTCAGGGTGAAACTATCGGACAGAGTAGAACTGCCTCATAGGGTTTCCAAGACTAATCCTACTGGAAGGGGACAGCCACTGCAGTTTCAGTTTACAACGGTCAAAACAAACTGTGTTTATTTTTTGGTTTGTTTGTGTTTTTATTGTTTTCTGAGTTTCAGGGGGGTGGGGATTGGGGGGAGGGCCTGAAGATGCAGAAGTAACATCAGCATTTGTAGAGAGCAAGTGGTGAGCGCTCTCCATGTAAACTCTTGTTGGAGCCTCCTTGCTACCCTCAATGAGTATTGCCACGATGAACAAGAACCAAGCCAAGAAATGCCCTGTGCAACATTATTCACCTCTTCCTCCCAAATGTCGTTTTCAGTGTCCTTACTACTTCCTCATAATAAGTTTGCATGAACAGCTTGTGTGCTTTGAAAAAAAACAACTTTCATGATTATGTCTTTGGAATCCCAAAGAAGTTATCATGACTTGTAGGCTGATTTGTCTCCCTTGAATTTACCTATCCGGGGATATCTTTGTGGAAGCCACTATTTTGACTGTGCCTTCTTTTTTTTTTAAGGTGCGTAGCAAAACTTTAATTGAGAGAACTTTCTGAACTCATCCATTGACCAGTAATACATGTTTAACCATATTTTGTGAGGGATAAACCTTTGCATATATAAACTACACCCACAGGAGGAATACTTTTTGACTTCTTCTTGTGTATTATTTAGAATTTTATGTGTGGACTGTTTTAGAAACCAGATTGTTCCACTATATCAAATAATAATGAGCCCATTCTTACCTTATATATATATATTGGTTATTCTCAACTCCATATTTACTTTAAAATCTTGAAGGAAGGAATTATTTTCTGCCAATATTATTATTATTATTATTATTATCTTAAAAATATGGAACACTTCACAAATTTTTGTGTCATCATTGTTCAGGGGCCATGCTAATCTTTTCTGAATCATTCCAATTTTAGTATATGTGCTGCCGAAGCGAACACGTGCCAATATTCTTATCAGTCCAGAATATTGATTCAAAGTCCATATTCCAAACGATGTACCTTTTCTTTATAAGTAGGGATGCTTAGCTTTCTCTTTCACTGGAGTTATGCAAACCACGAGACGACGTGGACATTCCTGCAGACTGCCAGAGCTATCCGAGGTTTCCCACCCTAATGGCAAGGTGCCAGGTCCAATAAAAAGAGGAGAAGTGCCCATAAGAATTCTTACTTTACCTTCATGGCTGAGGCTTCCTCAAACCACTTTCAGTTTCCATAACTTGCTGGAAAATCTAAGGGAAACACAGAAATCTGTTATACTCATGGCAATGTTTACTATAGGGAAATGATGCAAAATAGAACCACACAAAATAAGAGATGCATAAGACAACGTCTGGAATCATTCCACATGCAACGTTTTTCCTGTTTCTTTTATTCATATGCATATCATTAATATTCTCATATCTGTACGCTAGTATGTTTGTTTCAGTTGCCTTCACAATACATGTGTCCCCTTTAAAATATAGCCATTTGTTGGCCTTGATTCGTTCACCAAAATTCTAAGCCCTAAATCATTTTGTGAGTGATCTTTCTTTTAATGCTGTATTATCATTATAACTAGCCTTATGAAATCATAGCCTGAAAATTTAATTCCCATACAACTTTTTAGAGATTTTGGATGATGAATAACTTAGTTCATTAAAGTAAAAATAAATGTAATCTATACATTTGTAGTCTATACTAATGATGTTATATCTACTCTAGATTTAGATATTTAGATCTAGCCTAGATATTCTATATCTATTCTTGGTATCAGAATAGACCATTTGTCCCAGATTTGTCGTTTTCCAGGATCATTAGTCACTAATGGTAGTTTCTATATTTTCTGGGTCATTTTAACAACCATTTTCTAATAAAACATTTGTCATTTCATCTATTTATGATCATAGGTACTCTACAAAAGTACTAGATCCCATTTATTGTGCATGCAATCTAATGGAAAAACAAAAACGTTTCTTTCAGAATTTCAAGGTCAAGTATGTAGGACTGGCTATTCATTTGATATTTGCAGAGTACTTTGTCTATAAGTGCATTTCATGTTGTACCTACTCTTTTTATTTAATGACTTTCTAAAAAGAATTGTTATAAAAGGGCAAGTAAATGTTAAAAAGTGTATGCGTATTTTTCTCTTGAAGAGAGAAAAAATGAGTCAGCAATGTAATATCACAATGTTATAATTGGCTCAATAAAACAAATCTGTAAAAATCTATAAAAAATACATGATATGGAAATAGTTACAATGACAAATTAATTGCATAATATGTAATTGCATATTTGGTTATCTAGATAATATTAAATATTCAGAACAAGATACTGTTCTAGACTCTGACAATTAAACACCAAAAAATAAAATGTAAACATAGTTTGCCTACCCGGAGGAAGCAACCAATTCAAACTGGTTTCACTTCTATTTCAAAAATGCATATCATTAAAACAGATTGCTTAGTTTCTTTCCAATCTTCTTAACTTCCTTAATCAATCACAAATCAACCATAGCTGTGTCTGAATGTTTGCTATCTCCTTTCCAAGGCACTGCTGAAGGGAATTACACATCTAGGCATTTATTGATGCCAAAATACTGGCGATTCATTTGATATTTTGCTGAGTCCTCAGAACTTCCTTAAGTTTACTGTGGGCTGAGACTCCCTGTGAGGCGGGCCAGTGCGCAATGGACAACGCCAGCCTCCAGAGCAGAAGACTCTCCCTATGTGGTCCCTCTCCTCCACCTTCTTGCACACAGAGGCCACACAGCAGCGGGTCGGAAGCTGTTCTACACCTATCGCTCCACTTTTTGCTTCCCAGGCTTTTCTTCACAAAATCTCTTAGAAGTTCAAGTCCGCTTTGGTGCTTGCTTTTTTTTTTTTTTTT